ATCTTTGTTTGTATGTGGTGCCGAGGATGGACCCCGGGCCGCACACATGCCAGGTGAGTGAGCTACCAATTGAGCCACATCCCCAGCCCTTCCTTAATATTTGAAGGCAATTGGGAAATTCTCTTTCCGACACTGGATTCTTGGTCCGAGGTCATCATGATCTACTCTTGAAACACAAAAGGCGTTAGTAGAAAACGTAGTATCTCAGGGACATAACCAACTTGGAAGATCCAGGTTATTAATATTATTATTCTGCCAAACACTCATCAGAAGACTCTTCATCTTTTCTGGATTTATTGGGAAGCCTTGCACTTGGCAATGGTAGCATGGACATGTTCATTTGGCGGGGTGCTTCAGCCTTTCCACGGAGCAGAGGGCTCAGTCACAATATTTATTACAGTGGCTTTTTAGAGCATCTTAACTCAGTTCTAAGTTTTGCATCAGCATTTATCTGACTATGAAAGATCTTGGAAGTAATTTAAGTCAAGCATTAAGAAAATCCTCATGTTGTAAGTTTGAAACAGAGCCATAAAGACTGTACCACACAAGCAAAAAATAATATTTAAAGTAGTCCCTTCAAAGATCATGAGACCGGAGCTGGCCTAGGTCTGGTTCATTGGCATGCACCAGTTTCAGACCCCAACATGAACTTCAGCAGAGTGTCGCTCTGAAATACCAGCCGGCAATAACTAGCCATGCCATAAGGTGAGTTGCATTCATACAGGCTACAGGATATTCATCATCCTTTCTCTTAATTCTCATATTTAAGGAGTCTGTTAGGTGCTGAGAGCCATTGCCAAGTAGAAATGATGCATCAATATTTCCTTGCCAGTGTACCCCATGTTGCTTAAAGGAAGGACTCATGGAAATGGACTTACCTTGGACATTCGCTGTGACATTGCATGTATGTTTGAGAAAGGTGACCCTGCTCAAGGACCAGGGTGGATCCAGGTTTAGGGTGTATCCTGCAGGTTTTAGGAAGTATCCCTCTCCTTAGGATTACGGCGTTCCCAGTTTAGGACAATCTGGGTTTAGAGCAGTTCCAGGTTTAAGGTTATTCCTGCTGGGAATAGGGCGGGGTATCCTGCTGCCTGAGTTCCCCTTGAGTTCTCCTGGAATTCAGAAAGTTTTGGGGATTAAAAGCCTGGTGGAGTACGTGAATGAGGCCCAGAACTGGGATTCCCCCAGAACATGTTTGTAGAGGGCCAGTGTGAGTTCGGGAATAAAGAGTTGCTGTTTGAATCTACAAAGCTGTGAGTGGCTTGTGATCTTGTGCCCAGCCAGACTGTGGCAGTTAGGTCAATCAGTGATGTAAATATTCTGAAGGCAGAAGACAAACATCCAAACATCCTTTTGGGTGCCATCTCACTGAGGGTTAGGGTATTACCAATCAATCTCCAGGTGCCAGGCATCCTCCTGTAATTGCTCTTGTCCATTCTAGGAGACCAGCCTAAAATGCATCCACTATTTCTAGAACTCTTGTGTTGTACTCACCAGACATTTGCATAATACTTAGGAAAACTCAGGAAGAATACTTAGGAAAGGTGCCAGTTTCTATTGTAGAATGATCAGGGCAACCATGCATTAGTGCATACCTTATGTAAACACCTGGCCTTTATAGAAAAATTCTATTTCAACAAGCTTTCTATTTGGACAATTGTCAAGATAAGTAGTCTTAATTTCAAAGGGTCAGCATGATTGTCTGGTTTAGGTTTCTCATATGCTGTGTTTTCCTCAAATATAACCCCAGACAACCTGTTTACCACAGGATCAACATATAACTGACCACTACAGTCAGCATGATTAATCTAGTTTCATTGGTGGACTTTCTAGTCCACACCACAATGGACATTAAAAATGGATCTGAGGGCTGCGGTTGTGGCTCCGTGGTGGATCGCTCACCTAGCATGTGCGAGGCCCTGGGTTTCATCCTCGATACCACATAAAAAAATAAACAAAATAAAGGAATTGTTTCCATCAACAACTAAAAAATAAATTTTAAAAAATAGATCTGAGAAATGGGTCCATAGAAGTCTCTTCATACTTTTTACTTATCTGGCAAGCTCATGAAGCTGCATGGTTGTAAACTCTGCAGTTGGAAGGTTTACCTTCCTGTGTCAGGTTTTTCAGTCATGATGACCGGTTTATATTCTATCTTTTCAAATATGATTTAATTTACTGAATCATGTTCAGCAGCAGTGAACATGATTCAGTCAATTCAGCAGCAGTCTCAATTTTTTTTTTTCTTTTTTTGGTGGTGATGCTGGGGATTGAACGCTGGGCCTTGTGCATGTGAGAAAAGCACCCTACCAACTGAGATATATCCCCTGAGATTCTCAATATTACAATTAAGGAAAAAAATAATTATTTTGTAAGATCTAGTGTGTGCCTCTAGGGTCCTGTATTCCCCCTTTTCTTTATTTAATAAAACTGAGTAAAGACTTGGCATACGCCATAGTATCATCAGTTTAAGTTATAGATAGTAGTAAAGTATTTAAATGATCAGATTTACCTTGTGTTAATTATTGTAATTTCTCAAGATATACTAGTTGATATATCCTAACAGTTTAAAAGGAATCCTCAATGTCTTTCTAAGAGAAGTTCTCACAATATCATTGCGTTTCAGAATATTATCCTTTAAATAAATGTCTCTCAATTGTCTTTTTAAAAATATGATTAAGCAGTATATAAATCCTACCATATTTTTATAAATAATAGGTCCAGTGAGAGAACTTCTATAATGTCAATGAATTTTCAACAAGGTTTGCAAGTTTTATTGCTCAAAACTATCATACAACTTTAATTTGGAGAATATCAGTCCTAATGAAATTCCCAGATCTCAAAATTATTCAACAAACAAAATATGCAAGAATGAACAATCTTTGAGTCAATCAAATTTAGTCTCCAAGGAGAATTGTAAAAGTTGGAATCTAAGACAGCACTTTAATATATTTAGTTTGTTTAATCAAGGATGTGAATTTATTCACCAAAATTAATCCTTGCCTTAAACAATAAGAATCACTAGGCAATAAAGACCTTGCTTAGAGGAGTTAAACTTAACATTTTAATAGGTCTTTATCACGTCAAAATATGAACCAAAATATTAGCTCACTATCAGCATAGATAGTAAAATCAGGGAAATGGCCTGAAATATCCTTGAATTAATGAGTTAAAATTTTTAGTCAGTCCAGTACATATAAATATTTTTTTTTACATTTCTCTACTATCTGTGTAATTAATAATATAAAAATATTTTTATTTAGGAAAATATTTTTATCATTAAAATCTAGAATATACAGATCTTGGTTTACCCAAAGATGATTTCTTTCTTCTTAGGACCTCCAATGTGTGCTTCTCCTCTGTTGAAATTCCTTTTAGAATTTTTCCTGGTTATACTTTGAAATAACTTCTGAAAACCTTAGAATCATTGTACCTTGATAAAAAGAAATATCAATGAGGACTGGGGTTGGGGCTCAGTGGTAGCATGCTTGCCTGGCATGCATGAGGCACTGGCTTCGATTCTCGACACTACATACAAATAAATTTAAAAAGTAAAGGTCCATCAACAACTTTAAAAAATATATTTTAAAAAAAGGAAAGAAATATCAATGAAAATATAGTTAAAGTCCTTGGATATTTCTGTAGATAGTTAATACAATATACATAACCTATAATTAATACAATATAATTGATTAACTTTATGTAACCACGTGGATCTTAAGATATGTTGGATCCATTTCAATTTGTTCTCAACTAGGACTGCACGCTTGCATGTGATGTCACGTGATGTGGCTGATGATCCTTGTGTATACATTTACTTATTTCTTGTAATTACACAGTCAGGAACAAGAATAAGGATTTGGGGGTCATCCCAGGAACATGGCTAGCTTTGTTTCTGCGACAAGCAAATGCATCCCCATAACTTTCAAAATCAAAAGCCAAGTGTGAGACAGCAACATTTAGCAACATGACCATAGAGAGGAAAAGGGAGGGTCCCAAGGGAAGCTGCTGAGGGGTAAGAAATCAAGTTATTTGGCCTTGAGAGCAAGTCCGGCTTAGGGCTGCAACGAACAAAAATGTGGAATTAGATTTTGTCTGCAAAAGATCTTTTGTTGGCACTTACAGATAGGTGTTCTTAAAAATGCAGGCTCTGGGCAGCTCCAGGTAGCAGGTCTGAAACAGGAAGTACAGGTTAGCAGCTAGAAGGTGGGACCAGAAGTCCTGTGTGAGTGACAGTTGGAAGGACCAATGGGAAGCCTGTTGAAATGCAGGAGGCAGGACCAGGAAGCCAGCTGAGCAGCCAGGCTTGGGAGGTTACCATGATGATGGAAACAGCTTGGAGCCCGCTGCCCTAGAGCTTCCCTATCTGGTGGCATTCCATTTGGTTTGTCTGCATTCCCCAGGCCTGGGAGGGATCCCATGGCTGACCTGCACTTGCAGCTTGTGTCTTCCTGCCTTTGCACTTTCCCTGGCAGCACGTGGGACTTTAAAAGTGAGCTTTAATAGCAGACACCAGCGTTACTATCAGATGTTAAGGCAGTCTCTGGATTCAGCCATCAGACCCAGTAGGGGTTCAGTACAAACTGAGTGTTCACACACACAAAAAAAAACAGAAAAATAAAACTTACTTCTCTATGGGGAAAGAATCCCTGTGTTGAGTCTCATCACAACATTTTCCTTCCCTGTTTTCTCACTCTCCAAGCGCTGACTTCTAGTACACTCACCCAAGAAGTCTTTATCTGATATTTTAAAACATAAAGATTCATACAAACAATCTAAAAAAGTCCACAAAAGCACTTTCCCCATGGGAGAGGACTCAGCAACATATCCCACTAATCATCTTAATAACTCATTACATTTATTTAGTCTCTAGAATTATTTAAAAAAAAATTTCTAAAGACAAAATATTCCCAGATAGTAAAAAGTTTAACCTCACAGATTTTTCTTCTGTCTAATTTACTTACTTTCTACAATTCGGTCCACGATACTCTACAATCCTAAGCGCTCTTAGCTTCTGGAGAGAAATTCCAAACGAACTGAATTTTTAAAACTCACCCTGGAGTCACCATATGGGCAACCAATTGTCGCATTCCTCATGACTAAAACACTCAGGGTCACTCCAGGTGAACTGAGCTGCATGAAATAATCACACAAAAGACAAAGACAGAGATACCTTTTCCTTTGGGTGTTGTGATGGCTGCTCGGACCTCAGGGATCCATGGAAAGAGAGAGAGAGAGAGAGAGAACACACACACACACACACACACACACACACACACACACACATGCTGAACTGTTTTATTGGGGAGAAGCCATTCAAGTGAGGCAAGGGGTCAGGATTCAGGGGGCTGAGTCTAGCTTTCTGTTGTCTGCTGCCAGCAGGTTGATTGACATCTAGGGAGGCCACACCCAAAGGCCCAGCAAGAGAAGGGAACACACAGAGGGGGTTTCCAAGGAACATTTTATCCCAAACAGGGCAAAGGGGTAGGATTGCAGTAGAACAGGTGAGTGTCGCTCAACCCCATTGGTGACTCATCTACATCTGAAGGCACGCCTTTTACTTCTTGAGCTGTGGCAATGCCCGAGTGATTGATTGGAGCTTCTTGCTTCAGGACTGGAAGATGTGGGTCATTCAGAGTGATTCCCACAAATGGCCCCTGTGATGAGTGGGTCTCACAAGAGGCTTAGTTTCCTCCTGTGTGAAGGGGACAATGCTGTGATCCTCTTCGTATGTCTACCTGAGAAGATGAGGTGCAGTGGGCAAGGGTGTTGGGAAAAGTATAAAGGGCAGATGGGAACTGAGTTGATCTGGGTCAAAACAAAGATGATCCCCAGCAGAAGGCAATTCTGCCACCTAGAGTCTGTGCTCTGGGATCAGCATCCTCGTCATCCGAGTCTCTAGATCATTAAGGAAAACACTAGAGGAGGACAGAAGAGGAGCAAACAGTACCTGTGGCTGTGTGGCCCTGGCTGAGGACAGCACAGGGTTTGCTGCTGGGCGGTCACTTGTGTCCCGAACTATAAAGGAGAACTGTGCTAAAGACTAGGCCCTTCAGGGGCTGTCCTCTGTCTTGGGCTATGTTAGAATGACCTGGATGGCTTCAGTCTCCGGCTTCCTGATTCTCCAAGCTCACGGATTTTGTGGCCTCTTTCACTTGTTTCGTGTGAAGCTTGGGACACTTTTGTACATGACA